TTTAAAGCTTATTTTAATATGTTAGTTTTTCTTTTTATAAAGAAGAAACATATCCTAGTATTTACTTGGGAAAAAATATCTGGAGGCACATATAACACCACTGTATTAGCAGAAACTGTCAGGGAAAAAAATTCTCATTTGTATGGATCTTAATTCGATCTGATGCAGAAGTTTCCAAATATTCTTGAAATATGTGTGAAAGTGTTCTCTTTCATAAAACAGTAAGTTCAGTCTCCTTTTAAAATTACAGCTGGAGAGCTACCGATTTGCTTGTACACTTACTGTCACTTGAGGCATTCTAAGTCAAGGTGCTTTAATCATGGGTCTATCAAAAATTGCCTCTCCTGTGAATTGTGATGGATGAGGGAGAAAGAAGAGAGGAGAGAATAAGATGAAAAAGTCACATTATGGAGGATAAAATATTATTGTCATTAATTTAATTTATCCAGGAACAGAGTGAGTAACATTTTAAATTTAATGCCACTCTTGGTATGTTTCAGAACGCTCAGGGCTTCCTTACCATTTGATATCTGGAAGGACTCCTAGAAAAAGCCTAATTTGGCTTATAGCCACTTTAGGACCATCCTGGTTCTGGGGCCTAGATGTCTTCTTTCTCTTTCCACTCTGGATGCAGTTACGTAGTCATCTAGTGACAGGGTTGGGAATTGCAGCTTCCCTCCAGTTCTGGGGAAACCTGTCAATTCACCCTGTGAATTCAGATATGAAATGAGAGAAATTAGGTGGGCAAACCTCCCCTAACAGAGACCACCTAAATGACATACTGTGCAAATATGTCTTCTCTCTCCTTGTTTAAGCATCTCTCACATGGAGTCGTAAATTCTCATGTTACCTTATAGGGTGACCAAGGAGATACAATGAAATTATATAAGCTGGAACAACATCAATGTATTTTTCAAAATCACTATTTTTTTGTTAGCTAAACCCTTGGAATAAGCCACTGAAGAACCTTCTAATGTGAAAGTCAGTTATAGAATCAGAATTGTCAAGCAAGACTTGATAAATTCACAATCTAAACCCTTTATTTCAAGAATGGGGAAACCTTGAGGGCATTATATTAAGTGAAACAAGACAGTTACAAAAGAGCAAAAATGTATGATTTAACTTACAGGAAATAACTCAAGTAGTCATTTATAGAAAGTAGAATGTGATTTCTAGGTCCTAGGGATAAAGAGCTACCGATTTTCTTGTACACTTACTGTATTGTTTAAAGTAGAGAGTTCCAAGTGCTGGGATGTAGCTCAGTGGTAGAACACTTGCCTAGCATGTGCTAAGGTCCTGGGTTCAATCCCTGGTACTGTGCTCCACCCT